CAGCCTCAAAATTTACCCAGCAGAGGGGAATTTCACAGTGCTTTCAAACACTTCAAACAGCAGAACGTAAGGGTTCAGACTTACAGACAAAGGTGTTGTTACAAATGTCAGCGTGGTATCTTAGGAATAAGAGAAAGCACAACCTTGTCAATCCCACCCCCCCACCCCCCACCCCGTGCCCACAACCGAGTTTAAAACAATAGAAATAGTTTCCTCCTTCTCCCAGGCACATTGCTGCCTGCTAGATTATGCTGGTGCACAATGGATGTAAGGAATCAGCACTATGGCATTCAGGCTGTGGCTTAACTGTGATAAACTGGTGCCTAAAGCCCATTCATTTGGTGCCTCACCCCCTCCCTCTGGAGCACACGTTCCTATTTAGTCATCACTTTGTTCCCGGGGTGTCAGCAAACTCCCATAAGGGAGCAGGGTTTTCTCTCTCCCCGTTACACTGTGGGTCATTAACCACTTTTAACGGGCTCTGCAGTTTTTTTGTCTGCCCGTTTCCTGACAGCAGACAGTTCTTTCTGGGGAGGGATGGCACTGTCAGAGCCCCTGGCTGGCTGCAGATACACAGTTCAGGTGTTTCCCTACCTGGCAGTGAGCTTTCTCCTCCCACAGGAGCTGAACTCCTCGGGGCAGTTCACCAGCTGTGCAATTCAGAGTAACTGTTCTAGAAATGTTATATATCAGTTGGTATAGCATTGGCCTCTCTTTTTATACTCCAGCCATCTCCTCACCTTTTGCTTCTGAATGCCTTCTCAAGCTCAAAAACTCCTTCAGGACAGACTTTCTTGTGCCAGGCCCCTCTTTCCCACCACCTCTTTCTGTTTATGCTGCTCTCCAAGAACCCATTTCCAGTGGTACCATTGAGTGCAGCTCCAAAAAAAAAAAAAAAAACCAATTACAGGTACACTTCTCCACATTCATCTTCTTAAAAGTCTGGTCCCTGCACTCTTCCTGCTCTACTTACCACCCCTACGGGCCAGCTGGGATTTTAATTTTAGTATTGCTCTTAAGGTTTTGAAGGGTTGCATGTCTCCACTTCCCTCTGCTCCCACCCTTGGCACAACCACCCTGCAGCCACAGATTGGTAATTACTGCCCTGCCTGGCATGGTGAGTGCCTGGCATGGATTCAAGTGCTCAACCTCATGCAAGGAAGTCCAGGCTTTCCTAAAGCTCCTGAAGCCACAGTGATACTTCTGTAATCGGGAAAACACAAAGGCAGCACCAGGAAAGTGACTTTTAGTGCCTTTATCTTATCTCCCCCTGCTCCAACACTGTCCCATTAATAATGCATTTCCTTGCTCCGGAGCTCCTCCAGTGCCATGACCAATTACTGTTCCCACTGAAGTCCCTGGCAGAATTCCAGTGGAACAGAAGTCAGTGCCTCCAGCACAGAACTTGTGTCTCTCCCTTGTTTGTTCTGTTATCTCCCTGCCAAATCCCAGGGAATGCCAGGTTACCTTGCAGCTACTGGAGAAACCCAGGGATTCTGGGTATTCCTCTAATTCAGCCTGGGGGTACGCATGTCAGATCCAGAAAAGAACTGGTCCCAAAAATCCTCAAGGGCATTGTCCCTTTTTTTTCTGGGACACACACCAGTACAAGGTTATGATGGACAAAATTTACTCCTTGACCCTGAACAAATGCCAACGAATCCAAAACACGGCTCAAAGCTCAGTGTCCACGCTCAGGAACAACTCCAGTGCAGGAAGAAATGTTGCAAGACTTTCCTATTCCCAAAATAAAGCAATCAGAGGAGTTAGTTCCTAACATCAAGCTATGGAAGAGCCCACAGTGCCTTTTCATCAGAGACAGACCCACTTGTTGGATTTTGGGCCAAAAAACTTCTCCTACTCCCCATCAACGCTGCTCAAATGTAATTCTTTGCTTGTGGAGTAAAGACAACTACACCTCACAAGTGATTTAGGGAGTGATTCATCAGAAACTACTGTTAAACATTTATATTTGCACTTATGTAACTTAACTATTACAGTAAGATCACCTAATTGTGGAAGACAACAGTCCCCTCCTAATTACTCCAACCATACTTTAATTTTGACTAGTAAAACCTTCCAATCCATTTGTGCAGCCCTTGTAACCAAAGGTGAGGTTGTTCCTCCTTTGATCTTCTATCTCAGTATTTTTTATCCAATTATGTCAGTATTAATATCAAATGAACTGGGGCAAGTGCAGTTACTTGAAGTCCCTGCAGTGTGTTTTGAGGCAGAAATCATTTCTCTTTAATACTAATACTTATAACTGCTGCACAACAGGCTGTGAGGAGCCTGGAGGAGTGGAGAATGCAACAGAAATTCCAGTTTGTGGTATTGCTGTTGTATACACAGAGTTTAAAAAAAACCAGGCAGCATGGTTTTTGCAGCAGCAGTGTTTGCCCTCCTGTTTCGTGGCAGCATTCTCCTCCCAGAGCACTGGCAGCAGGAGGGAGCCATGCATTAATCAGGAAGCTCCCTTCACTAATCCAGTTCCCCCTGTCTAGTAAGAGGATTCCAGCAGCAAACATGCCCACAGTTTTCTAAGAAGAAAACAAGCCAAGCAAGGCAGCTCCCGAGGACATCAAGGAAACACAAAGTGACAGATTGGTGTCACCTCAGAGAAAGTGTAGCAGGAGATGCCACCACGCCTCTCCCTGCATGGAGACCCACCAGGGATGAGTAGGAGCAGCAGAACATCCCTGTTCTGCATTACAGCACCACAAATACTGAGAGCACAAGGCACAGTGCAAGGTTACGTCATTCCTGAGGAGAACCCTGGAGATTCTCATGCTGCTCGTTGCTTTGGGAAAGCCTCACTTTTTATTCTTTAATCAAACACAAACAAACCCATAAGTGGCTGAAATTGCCTGCTATTTAGGAGTTAAGTTCTAATTTTAATTAACACTTCTGGTCTTTAGGCTTAATGAGGTGAACTTTCTTAAGTTACAGTAGAGCACAAGTCAGGCACAACATTCTCCCTCAAGAACGTCAGCATTGTGCAGAATTCACAAATGACTTGGAAATAGTGGGAACACACTTTCAGAAGTCTCAACCTTTTATAGATAAAAACTATTTGTAGAATAGAAACTATAGATAGAAATGATTTCTATTTAGGTAGAAACTATTTGTTAGAAACTATTTCCACTTACAGCAAGAATGAAGTTGGCCTAGACATCATTCATTCTTGCTGCACTGCACTTTGAAAAAATAAGTCAGAAATAAAATTAAGGGATATCCAGAGTCATAACTGAGTGACACTAATATGGATAGAAAAGAAAAAATGACTCAACTTAGTTTTGATGTCTAATTAGCCAACTGTTCTTGCTTTTTTTCCTCTATCTTACCACTGGAATTCTTTGGCTCCTCAAAATCAATGGTGTTTTCATTAAATCTAGAGACTCTGCTGTGGTGTTCTGCACTCACTGCACCTCCACAAGTGGGATGAGATTTTGGGGCTCACGATACTGTAACAGAATCTGAGGATTAAATAAAAGGAGAAGATTAACACACAGGGCAATCCAAGGCCTCCTTACCTGCAACAACACAAAAAAATGCTCCCAAGAAACCAGACTCTACAGAGCACAGCTGGCTCTAAGGCTTCCCAAAACTCTGAAAGTACAGATTATGACATTCATTCCCTTTTCCTCTTCACCTGACAATCCTGCCCAGGGTTTCTGGGAAAGTGTGACACACCTGTAATGCTCAGTAGCTCAGCACAACCTCGTTGTGAGAGGAAAGGCTCTCAGGTCCCTGGAGTGGTGCTCATAACAAATTCAAGTGGGTTTTTTTTTGTTTTCAGTATGTGACAAAGTTCCATACAGATCTCAGCTTCTCCCAAGTTCTCTCTTCACATATTTTCTCCCCCCAAAAGCAAGCACTTTAAGTGGCTGCTTCCCCCTCTTCCAGGCCTTACCTCCCTAGTGGGGTCAGGGTGCAATTCCCAACTCTTTTTGAGCACCCAGCTCCAGCCCTGCCAACACATCCAAACAACTTCACTTTTGGCTGCTTTTCCTCCACATCTAATGCCCCCTTTGTTTTCTGTCTGACTCTCTCCTCGCTGCTCAAAACACGAGCAAAGCAACTTGGCTGGAAAACCTTTGACCAAAGGGGTGTCTTCTGCCAGGTGGCTCCAAGGAAAATGTAAAGTCCTTTTGTTGGGCAGGAAACAGTTTTCCAAGAGGATGGAGCAGCTACTGAGCTCCTGCTACACTTGAACTTTGCCATTTACCAGGAGCTGAACCAGAGTCACCGGCCATGACTTCAACAAAGGGTGCTTGTGTAGAATCACTGCACAATTTAAAATTAACTCCTGCAGATTCTGGAAAGGAGATTTTACTGCTTCATGCACAGAGGCCCAGAGAAAAATCAATCTAGCTGTGGGCACAAATACCTTTCTGTGCACACCTTGTACAGATGGAAGAGTGCAGGGAAGTGTCCTGTCTGAAATTAAACCTATGAACTGCAGATTTGGTGAAGCTGCCTAAATTGACACCACCTACCCTGGGAAGGGGCACAGGGCAGCCAGTGGGAATATCAGCTTAAGTATCCTCATGGAGTCTCCTGGTGCATCCTAATCCTGACCCCCCAGTCCAGCAGAGGGGGTGGGTGTGATCCAGCCCTGCCTGACCCTGTGGTGCCTGTGGAGAGAGCACTGAACGTGAGCACTGGCTCCACTCTGCACAGACCCACCCAAGGGTTACTGCAAGCACAGGACCAGGACCTTCCTTGAACTGATGGCTGTGGGTGCAGCAGGTTCAACCAGGTTCCAACACACAGCCTTAACTCAGGAGCAAACACATCCACAAGGGAAATCACTGGGATCTTCAGTTCTGGTAAGAACATCAAAAAAAAAGCAAAGAGATCAAAACATCCTTTCTAGTCACTGTGGATGTGAGCTGCAGTGAGACAAGGAAAAAACAGGGTGAGAGGCCACACATTTCATCATCTTGCTCCAAGATTTATCTGCATTATTATGGAGAACTTTAAACCACAGTTGGTTAGATAATCCCAGTTTGAGGCAACTTGTATTTATTTTAATTTATTTTAAATTACCACTACACCTTAACCAGTTAACCCAAAGAGCATCATCTATAGCACAGGGCTGTTACAATAAACCTCCGTGTTCCAGCTCTGCCATTAAGTATTTTTGGTGAGACTACAAACAGCAGGACATGAATTTATTATTTTGCAGCTGAAAGATGAATCACAGTGTAAAGATCAGGTACCAACCATATGGCTGTATGTAACAAGTCTCGTTGTGCACAGGTAACCACTGACACTTCTAAGCATTTATCTGTCTCTGGAGCTGCAATAAATGAGATATTGGCATTTTAGATGGTAAATGTTGGCATCCCTGGTGTGAGGTGGCTAACACAGCAAAACTAGGAATTCTTACTTGGTGGGAACAGTGGGGCATTTATGTTTATCTCTAGTATTGGTGACACTGGATGGAGGCACAGCAAATATCACGGAGCAGAAACATCTTTGTGCTTCGGGATGTTTCCTTCTGTCAGTATCTGGTGCTAAACCCCGAGAAGTCAAGCTTGGAAATCTCCTTTTCGTTGGAAAAATCTGTCCGGTCTATGCGGGAACTGGGGCTTCCAACTTTGCTCAGCCAGGATTTCCTGCAGGAAAAATGAGGGAGGGTTAACAGGTAACACGCTGGACAGCTGGGGTTTATTCTCCCATCGTGCCTTCCCCTCTGTTTTTTTTATTTATTTTCAGAGCCATAAAAAGCATCTTTCAATAAGGAAACTACCCCAAATATGCTGGTTTCTGTTTTTCCTCCCTCTCTCTTTTAAAAGCAAGCCAAGCTATTTAAAAGCCACCAGTGTTTCGAGGAGTATTACACAATATTACATAAAATCACAGCTGACAAAAAGGCTAAAGCTGATTTACTGCAATGATCCCTTTTAAACACAATTAATAGCATTAAAATAGGTATAATTACCTTTGCAGATTCAATACTACTCTTTAGCAAGGACTTAAAACCTCCTATAATTGAAAAATTGCACAAAACCAGAATTCCAACAGCCAGTTGACCCTCTGCTGACTAAAAAAAATGGGAACTGAAATGAAAATTAATCAATTCAAAACCAGCAAAAGGCAGAGCAAACAAAAATCAAGATGATGTCAAGGCAATACTGATCTGTAATAAATTCTGGGTGTTACACAGGCACTCTGGATAACTGCACATCCAAACACTGGAGATGCAGTAGGTGAGTGCTTAGGGAGGGTTATTTCCAGAAAACACTTGGTCAGCATTTTTGGCTGTACTAAACTCCCAGAAATAGGAAGAAGGAAGTGTTTTAAGTGTGACATATCAAAGGAGAAATATTTCCACACAAACACCTTTTATAATGCATAAGCAGGTATAGATACATAACTCATTAGTATTACCAATAATTATTCATTTAAATTCTGATTTGAAGACAATAAAAGTTGCCTTATTAAGAGTCTTGTTAATTAATCCTTTACAAAAAAATCACACTGAGCATTATGAAATGCAATATTCTTGTAGTGAGACCATTTTGTTGTCTTTATAATGACAACTGTACTTAGAGGTTGCTTATCTTGAGCCAGTCAATCAGTGTATCACACCTGAGACACAGAAATATCTTGCTTGAGACCCCATGTGCAGGATTTTTTTTTTAAATCAGAGACAAATCATTTCCTCATAAATTATGCTAATCCCTCACAGATGGATCTCACCACTGGCACAGACAATTCTAAACCTGCCTTCAGTCCCATTTTACCACTAAAATAGAAGCTTCACATCGAAAAATGTTCTATGAAACAGAAAGCAGACCCAGGTATCTCACATTCCAAGTGGGATTCACCTCAATTCAGGACTGAGAAATGTAAATATTTGCCACATGTTTCCACACCTTCACACCTCTTGTTCTTTGCTGTTGTGAACAACCTCCCTTCTCCCCTGCTTTAGACGGAGCCTTCCCAGTAAGGAATATCAGACAGGAATAGGGGTCCAGGAGTGAAACAGGACAACCCAACTTCCCATTCTGTGCTGGACAGATATTCCAACAGAAGGAAAAAGGCCTAAGGACAGACCAGCCCATTTTGCTCCATAGTAGGAAAAAAAAAACAAACCTGAAGAGGCTCTTTTTATTTACCAGGAAAGTCTCTAATATTGGATGTCCTTGAGTGAGAAGGAAGAACATGTATTTGAGATACTGAATTAATATTCTAAAAATAGCAAAGATTATTGTTTTAATAATGTGACAACTAGAAGCAAACAGAGTATTTCTTTTTCCTTCCCCGCTTTGAAGGTGAATTTATCCTGGACAAAGTCAAAAGGAATATATTCCTTGTCCAGCCTTCACAGCAAAGATTCACACTTGGCTGCTTCCACCTCCCAGGCTCCACTGTGTGAAGGAATAACTGCAAGCTCTGCCCAGGGCAACCTTGATCCATTCTCAGCTCCACGTACTCTCACATGAATAAGGACAGAGCACAGATTATGAAAATCCAGTTAGAGCAACCCAGCTCCATGGAGAACTCCTTATAGGATGTGTTTTATTCCTTATTTAATGCAGGAGGTAGGGCAGGAAGCTGAGGACTTTCCTCATCCGTCTCCCCTCTCCCTGCTCAAGTCACCAATGCTATGAAGAAGCACATTTTTTACAAGCTAAGCAAGCAGGAAATCAGGATTTCCAAGAAGTTACAGTTGTTTCCTCATTTATCTCAAGAGCATTAAATGTCATCTCCAATCTCTTTGCTAGCAGTGGTATTTTTAAAAACAGTATTAACTTAGGAGTACCCAGATGAACAGTTAAGACAAGGTTCTGTGCCCTCCTCTTGCTTCTCTCAGCCTTCCTAATTTCCTTTCACTTCACATCTCCATGTGCAGGAGACGAGCTACAATCACCAGCACTCGGAGTTTTAGCTTGTCACTTATAGCACCCAGTTTAAAATTCACTGCTCCTCAGGAGTGTGAAGACATCCTCCACCCCACTTGTGTGAAGCAAACGAGGACATTCCTGTCACAGGACACCACAGGGCTTAGTCTTAAATTTTAAACAGATATATCTTCAATTTTCACAGATATATCCCTCTAAACTGGCTGCTTTGAGGAGTCCAGAACAAGAGCGGAGCTCTTGTTCTGGACTCCTCAAAGCAGCCAGTTTA